CCTGCCTGCTCTACCCCTCTGCCCCCACTACACCCTGTGCCTGCCCTCACACCCTGCTCAGCCCCTTCTCTGTGCTCTGTACCTCCCCACCACACCCTCCATCCTCCCCCCCATCACATCTGCTCTGCTCCCCCTCCCCCATGCACTCTCCCCGTGCCCTGGCCCGTGTGCTGTCATATTGCCCACACTGACACACTGCTCAGCGCGCCCCTGGTCTCTGCCTGTCCCTGTGCCCCTCAGCCTGTCCCACCTCTCTGTCTCCCCCCGCCCCCGGTCACCCCATCCTTTCGCCTGCTCTCTCTCTGACACTCCACCCACCCGCTCAGCAGCCTGGCTGGGCTCTTCACTGTGGGCCTGGTCCTGCATTCCTCACACACCCAGAGCACCCAGTGCCGCTCGGAGGTGTGGCAGGAATGTGTGTGTAGGATCAAGCCTTTGGCATGTACCAAACACTGCACGCTCTCCGGGCTCCCTATGTCCCGGCTCCCCCGCGGAGCACTGCCTTTCAGGGTGCCGGGCTGCTGCCCTCCCTGGCGTCTTTCTTCTCCTCCCCTCTCTGTCACCTTGCTCCGTACATCCATCCCTGCCCATACTGCTTCCTCTGTACACCCCATCCCTGCCAATACTCATCCATCTCTCCATTTCCATACACACCCATCCATCCGTTCATCCCCATAATCACCCAGTGCTTCCTCCCGTGGTCCCCAAACTCTCCACCACATTGCTCCTAGCAGAAACCCGAGGAAACAGGCCAGTCCCCAAAGGCCTGGAGCTTACTCAGTGTTGTGCAGCTCAATCATTTGTATTGTGGTAGCACCTAAAAGCCACAACCCAGCTGGGCCTTACGGTGCTAGGCGCTGTCCAAACCCATCATCAACAATGGCCATGTCCCGGTCAGTGCCCATGCAGAGCAGCCGGGAGTCCAGCGTTACGGATCAGTTTTCCAAAGAGCTCGGCATGCTGGCCAGAAACGACTTTTGGGAATCTGGCCCCACACCAGAGTTCCCTGTAAGCCGGGCACTTGGGCGGCCACTCAGATGAGATTCCAGTGCCACCCAGCTGACTAACAGAACACCCACAGCTCGGTTTTGTGTTTCTACTGGTGGTGCACATGCAGACATGCCTTGGTGCACATACCGATTTATTCCGCACATGGATGGAAAAGACTAGAGGAAGCCTTGCCCCACACCTCGGGCATGGTGCTCCGTGTGTCCCTTGGGAAGGATGAAAGGCAAAGCAGAAAGCTGGCCTAAGGAAGTCAGAGATTATGCGCTGGATAATCCCCCGTGGGATGAGCCATGGCCTCCCACCGAGGCGAGCATCTTCTTGAGACTAGCACTTCCCCTCCTCTCCCATCTCAAACAGGGCAGCCATCACCTTGTGGAGCTGCTCCACGCCTTTACGTGTCCCCAGTTTGCAGATTGGTCAGCTGCGTCACTGGGGCATGGAGGGTTACGCCGGGTGCAAACAGTGCTGGGATTGTAACCTCTATCCTAGCTCCGAGCCACCTGCCCCAGGCACAAGGCCACGTCCCTCCCTCTTCGTCTTCTGCTTAGAATTCATTATTCTTGCATTAGGAACGTAAGTAACTGCCAACCTCCTCCTCCCATTTGGGGAGATCCAGTCGCGTGCTCCAGGCCAAATTCCAGCCGAGGGATTGGTCAGTGGAAGGAATGCCAGCAAAGGGAAGGGCAAAATGTGATATTTTCCTTCCTCCCATCTCCCTCCCAGCCTCCCCAGTTTAACATTCACTTCTTCACCCCCATGCTTAACACTCAGGACTCCAGGCAGACCACGAGTATACTGGTGGGAGAGGCAGACATCGAATCTCTAGGGAGTGGCCCCTTGCCAGCGTCCCCCACTGATCTGCGACCACTGGAAAAGTGGCACCCATCCAACTTTTGAAAGGAGGCTCAAGCTGGAAGACGAGATACCCATGGGATTGGGGCTCTTCCCAATTCAGATACTCCCCATCAGCCTCTGAGCTTTTTCATCACCAGATGGGTACGAGAAACGATAAAACTGTTGGAAGAACTCTAGTGACACAAAGCATGGACTTCATACCCCATGAGCTCTGGCATCATCACCGGCCAGCTCGGGCTCAGGACAGGAACACTTTAAACATGTGAGGAATAAAAGCGATCCTAGCTCTGGTGTGGGTCCAGGAGAGATTTCAGTGCCATCCAGCTGATTAGCAGAGTGCCCACAACTATCAGCATGTGTTTCTATTGCTGGTGCACACCCACAAATGCCTCAGTGCACATAACAAAATTTATTCCGCTCATGGGTGGAAAAAAATTTAGAGGGAACATTGGGTAGGTCCCTTATGGGATATGGATGATACAATGGACAGGAATAAACAAGAAAAGGCAGACATGTTCTGTAAATATTGCCGTCCCATGTTTGGAAAAAAGCTAATGCTATATTCACAGCGTACAGTGATAATGAAATATTCTCCACCAAGCAGTATCTACTGAAGTTAAACATTTGTAATCTGCAGGGCCAGATAACTTGCACTCAAATGTAATAGACAAATCTAGACCTGGCACGCTTGGGACATAGGATGGATAAGGAGAGCCCAGAGTGTAAAAAGATGTGGGACTCCTTCAGTGGTGCAGTGGATAAGGTACCTGCTTCCAGAGCCTGAAGCCGAGGGTTTAAGCTCTACCCTCAACCAACATGGACTTGGCAATCAAGGGGAGGCCCAAATTACAGGAAGGCTGCAGGGCTCCTCCAGTGGACAAGGTACCTGCTGGCATGGTCATGAGGGATAGGCAGCAGCCTGGGGACTAAGGGGTTAACTGCACCTAACCAAGTAGCAGTCAGCCAATGAAAATGCAGATAGGCCAGAGCCCTTTGGACCACAGAGGTGGATTTTTAACAAATCTTGGAATACTGGGGAAATTCCAGGGGATTAGCATCCAAGTTAGTCTGACACTGAGCCCAGGCCAAATCATGGAATGGCTGGTGTGAGATGCAAGCACTAAAAGAATTAATGGATGGCAGCATAATACATGCCAGTCAGCATGGTTTTGTGGCAGCGAGGTCTAGCTTGGTCCTGGGTTTTTT